TGTGCTCTCTAGATGTCACCTCACTGTTCACAAATGTGCCTTTATTTGAAACGATTGAGTTCATTTGCAACTTTGTTGAGGAGAACCATCTTGATATTGGCATACCAACTCTGGCACTGAAAGAATTACTGCTAAGGTGTACATTTAATGTTCAGTTCCTATTCAACGGGGATATATACCGACAGCGCGATGGAGTTGCAATGGGTTCCGCGCTAGGACCATTCCTCGCTGATGTTTTCATGGGTATGTTGGAACAGGGTAAATTGAAAGCGGTCATCAGTAGCCTCACGTTATATCACCGTTACGTAGATGACATCTTCGTCCTACTTGACATCTCCGGTAACATCGAGAAGCTCACTAGCGTATTTAACCAAGCTCACAAGGCTATACAATTCACCTACGAGGTAGAAGAAAACGGTGCTTTCCATTTTCTCGATGTAGCTCTACAAAGACTTGAAGATGGTGCAATAAAACGTAGCGTTTACCGAAAGTGCACTTGGAATGGACAGTACACAAACTTTCATAGCTTTGTGCCGCTTCGGATTAAGAGAAACTTGGTCCTCAGTCTCGTGAACCGGGCCGAAAGAATCTGCTCGAAGGATACTCTTTTCGAAGAGTTGCAACTAATACGAGCGACACTAAAAGAGAATGGCTACCCAGAGAATTTTATTAATGCGAATATGGGGCGAAACAGGGAAGCACCTTTGGTCCTGACGGCGGAACGGAAACCTATTTTCCTACAACTGCCTTACAAAGGGGAAATAGTATCCGAGAATCTATCCCGCCGTCTCACGTCCACACTCAGGAATACCTTCCCAGCGGCGAGGTTGCAAATCCGATTTACCAGCAGTCCAATGGTGAGACTAAACCTCAAGGATAAGCTGCCTGTCCACACCAAATCAATGTGTGTATACTCATTTACCTGTTCCTGTGGGACAGGATACGTTGGTCGTACGACAAGACGCTTATCCGAAAGGGTGAAGGAACACCACCCGGCCTGGCTCGGAAATGGAGGCCGAAAGGTCACCAACTCTGCCATCGCCACGCATCTTGCGGATACGGGTCACGCCACCAAGTCGGCTGACTCGTTCAAAGTAATCTATCAGGCCCCAGAAAATCGATCAAGGTATTTCCGTAAGCGGATATTAGACGCCGCAGAAGCCATTGCCATTCGGTTGTACGAACCAGCACTGTGTACACAGAAACGGTTCACTCACGCGTTGAGCCTACCTTGGCCAGGACGGACTGCAGTTGACCTGTACGCACGTACGACTACAACTGTAACGTAACCGAAGGTGTGTCACAGCGCACTAAGATCAATTTGGTTAACTGACGACCCTTTGGGTCTGTATACAAAATGTTTGCATTTCATGTAATTGTACAAGCCTGATGAAGAATTGCCGAAAACATATGTTCGCTTACACAGACTTCTGATCGATCAATGGGTTTTTTTCCATTCAATCAGCTTTGGTTAATATAACTGCATTTATTATTATCATGGTGGCATAAGTCAAGAGGATTGATGTGGTTTACTGCACTTTGATGCACGGATCGTAGTAAAAATGGTTACCGACCTCTCTTTCAATCACCGAGTTGCAACCCTTGAACAGGACCCGACATCTGGATCCAAACAAACGCGATTATCAAGTTAGTTTCGGTGGAATCCGATTTATGACACGTGAATGCAGAAAAGGAGAAAGTATTAAATTTTAGCCATGTTGAACGCAGAGCTAAGTAACCAACAATCTCGAAAACTGCCGGTTAAACAGGGATCGCTTAAAAATACGGTGAAACCTGGAAGATCTCTGAGCTTCACTGCATACGTAAACAAGTTGCGTCTACTCAAATTCTAAACACCAGCTTCTTCACGCTTATCAGCTGGCAAAAAGTTTATCACCCATATGCTCAACAGTCAAAATGACATGTGAAAATGTCCTAGAATGAGCATGAATAGTTGTCACACGCGAGCAGCACTTCGATACCAGATTCCAAGGTGAACGTGCAATCTATCTGATTTCAAAAGACGAAGCAGTCATTGCACACTTCCGGGGCGGAGATGCAGGCTTTTCGGTTATGTGATGTTAAAATGTGGAGACCTCAGGTGGTCTGTATGCAATACCGTCAAATATGCGTTATCTGAAGATGGCGTCCTATGAGTGAATCAAAAGAACCCTCTGTTCCTAGCTCCGAATGGATCTGCTGCGGAGGATGCTCGCAGTGACTACCGCAGCGACACAAGCCAGCATACCACGTGGCACCAGCAAAAAGAGAAAAACTGCAAGGCCCGAATAGGCGCGTTAGTTGCACATTAGACACTGAGAGCATAACCGAGCCATTTAGACGGGACAAGTGGAGAACTAAACAACTTTTCAGTTGCAAGCCAGTGACCTTTAGATGGTAGTGCATCCATGAGGATGGCGGAAATCATGCACGGGTGGAGCTTTACTGTGCGATTCCGCAACGAACTTGCGATTGATACCTGCATGAGGTTAGGTTCGGTCGAGTAGCACACACTTGATAGCATAGGGGCCAAAATGAGTAAACTTGGCCTCAAAGCTCGGTGGAGCGAATCCGGAATACAGTGCACGCGCCTTTGGTAAAATACTTATGCAGGAGTCCAAATCACTCCATTTAGTTCTAGCCCTAAGGCAAAATGTGGGAAGTGCAGAGGTAGTTGTGAAGTGGGAACCTGACTAACCCATTGAAGTAGAACGTTGCGGGTGTTTGTAAATCATCCTACAGTGAATTGCTGTTAGTGTCCATGAAGATTGTTCGCGACCTTGAAAGTATGTACGAAGGCTGAACTTTGCGCGCATATATTGCTACAAAACGAAATTCGAAGAAATTTCTGGAAGTCAGCCATACTTTTGATTGGCCAACCAAGTCAATGCATTAGGTCCCCAATTCAATGTCATCCACCGGTAAGTAAATAGTTCATTGATATGATCCATCTTTGGCAGCGACGGTTTTCGCAGACACGAATCCTCGACGCTGTCTTCTTTACACGACAGGCTGCCTACAGTTAGCTATGGAGACCGCCAGATATAGGCCCGTCAGTCAAAGTTGAGGTTTACAACGTTGCGTCGGCGTTACTCTGTGAATCTGAAGACATTAGGTCGTCTGTGCTCATCGAAGCTTGCGGTGTGTTACTCACATTTGTTGAGAGTACTGGCTGTTTGGAGAAAAACCTCTGGTGCCTCAATGAAATGTCAGTTAACGGGGAATCACCTACGTTGGCTAGACCATGCCCTCTGAATGCCAGTTGACCGACTGACCCAGGCGTGCATTACATACCGTCGCTGCATCAAGTTGGGCGAAAGCTTGAGGTGACCAGTTCATGAGGTGGCATAAAGGCCAAGAGAATTGATCAGGCTGGTGCGTGCTATCTTCGTGGATGGGGGCCTAGGGATGGTCCACACTAGTGGTTGGAGACCCTATCGAACACGATACAGTCACGTATTCAGTTGTGCACCTGTATTCGGTTTCTTGCATCTAACCGTTAAGCCGCATTTCATCCTGGTTAATTTAACGCACTTTTATCTTGATTCCATTGTACTTGCATTCAAACTCATTTTCGCGCCGTATTAGTTATTGTTATTCTGGCGACGTGAGTGGTGACAACTGGAGCCACCGCACTTTGGTGCCCGGATGAAGAGGTTTCGTCATCATGACTTCATCCGAATGCTCAAGACATGAGGGAAATCGGTCATGGAACAATGAAGAATGATTCGGAGATAAAAAGCAGGTGTTAGGAGAGGTTGAGATGCGGTCCCTGTGATCCGAGTAACTGATGCTCACTTCATAACCGAATTGTGGCGCAAACATACAGTGGGTATCACAGAGCTGAAACTTTGGTCCCAGGCTTAGTTACTGACGTGATTAGAGATCGGATTTCCAAAACCGAGAAACAGCAGAAGCCAGCTGCCTGAGCCGAGTGCAACGCCGCTCGTGGAGCTCTGGCCTAGCCACCAAAATGAAAGCGATCAACCAATGCGTCGGGTTCCATGCTCAGTCCAATCCATCTCTAGCTAAGGAGTTCGAATCAGAACGAAACCGGTCAGTCGTGAAGTGTAGGGTTTGGAGAGACCAACTCCGTAACTCACCACACTGGAGGAATGTTGTACCAGAACGTGAGTGGTATGGAACACAAAGTTGGGATAAAGGAGTAAGACGAAGCGACCGACAGCACTATCGCTTGCTGATGCAAACGCTAGCGAGTAGAGAGATTGAGAACATGTGCCATTTACCAGCAAGCAGAACAGACGGGTTTGACCGACGCAAATGTAAAAGCAATACCGTTCCGGTGCTGAATGGTTGATAGAATAAAGCAGTTTAAAAACACGACACGCTGGACATAGAGAAGCGACTGTATTGAGGCATCGAGTATGACAAAGGCATGCAACATAGCCATTGGTAGAACAAACAACAAAGATGAGTCTGATGCAATGGTTGGAACAAAACCAGAGAAAGCATCAGTGGGTTGCTGAAGTAGCTGCCTTAAACGGAAACTGAAAATGTTTCCCCCAGAGAAAAAAGGATGTGTTTCTAAACCACACAGTGTATACCAATTTGAACAAATCCACAGTGTAATGCAACATGTCAGACTGGGGATCGCGGCAACATATCAAGCTTCTGAGGTTATTTTTGCGATTGGTTAAGAAACGTAAGCCACGTCTAGCCTGGTATTCAAGCTGAAAAAGTATCAGTCCGATCTTCGGTGGTTTGCAAAGGTAGGCGAACCTAACGCGTTTATCAGAATATTCGTCAGATCGTAGGCTCTTGTGTACAGTGGTGACATCACCGTTAGGCAGAAAACCAAGTAAGATTCAAAAACTTCCTGGCTACTCTAATGGTACAGGTTATGTGCACCTGTCAAGAATCATTTATCATTGCTCAGTTGGAGTTGCGACAAGAAAAGAGGTAGGATGGAAAGGGTATTGAGGGACTGGATGAAATCGGGACTGGAAGATTCGGCAATCTCAGACAGAAGCGACACTTACTTTTACTCTTCTCCTCGTGTTGATGCCCACCCCGACGTTGGGTTTGTTGCTGCTGCTGCTGCTGTTGGTTAGCGCCACCCGACTGCTCAATGGCTGCCACTGCGTTGCCGTTGTTATTGGGTCCGTTGGCAGAGAGCTTCAGTAGATTCCAATCGAAGACACAATCGTACGTGAAACCTTCCTGATGAAACAGGCTGCGAAACAGTGTGCGCAGGTACGCGTAGTCTGGTTGATTGTCAAAGTAGAGACCGCGGCAAAAATTGAGGTATATCGCCATTTCGACTGCAAAACGACAGAGATAGAAGGGGGTTCAGCATTACGATGAAGATGTCAGTGAAAAGTAAACTGCGCTCAGATGACCAGAGGGTGCACGAGTAATGAAAACCCCAGTTCAGAAAAGCGATAGAATAAGGGGCAATACGGAATCACTTTCAACGTGTATCTCGGAGAATGTAACTATCAATACCCATGAGTCCAAATAAACGATCCATGGAAGGTATGAAATACACTCCGTAAGAATTCCCGAATCTGGCGAAAGATAACCCTGAGCAGTAAAACGATTAAAGGGAAAAGTGGATGCAAGGCCATTTTGAAAACTGTCAACGACAAATCATCGAAAAACCTTCCACAAGCATGGGCAGTTGCAAGACAGTTTGGTAAGCGAGTGACACGGTTGATAATCAATGGGGCGCCGCACAAACGCATCAAGAAATATGACAGATACATTACTGAACACTGAGCTACCTGTTCACAACTAGTAGGCTAACAAGGACAGAAAATCGAACTTGGGCGACAGACTGCTGAACAGCGGAAAAGCAGACCGTTCTGCCAGGCAAATTCCTTAAAGTATCCAGCCACAAGTGCTGGGTTAGAAATCTACCCAACTGCCCACTAAGTGATGCGGAACGACAAGTCCTCACCAAGAGAGTTAATTACGACTTCAAAGATGCCGGAATTCAGTGACGGACTCGAAAATGTCTTACGACTCAATCGAAGTGACGAAGAGGTTAAAACGCAAATTAAAACATGCCATCGTTCCATGTCTGAAACGCAACAAACAATTTGGTTAAAACAAGAGAAGAACGCCAGAAAATCCTTGTAACCCGACGAGGTCATGGCAATCCTACCCACGGACAAGGAACGCATGACTGTGACAATGGACAAAACAGATTCTATTGAAAAAGTAAGTCATCTCGTGGACGATATGGTAACATAAAGCCGAGTGAATAACGACCCAACAGCGCCGGTAACAAACAATGTGATAAGAAAGATGAAAAATTTTCAGGAATTGAAGCAAATCACAAATGAATGAGGGCTGATGAATCAAACATCGCACAATTTTCTGGACTTTTAAAGGGACACAAAGAAGGTGCACCGTCGCAACGACCAATCGTGTCACTTCCCGGTACACCAACTTACAACATGACCATGACAGTGATGGAAACGCCTCAAACATCTGCCCAACGGCTCACCGTGCTCTAAAAGAGACGCTTAGCAATTAGAAAGAAATTCAACTACCTAGGAATGGATCAATAAGAAATAATGACGTTACTGCCTTATTCAGCTCTGTCAATATACGAATGGCGAAAGAAAGCACATGTAAGCCTTTCGACTTGTGCCTTACCACATACTGTAGATTTAATGGAATGTTCGACCATCTCGAATGTCGCCATACAGAGGTTGAAAGAGCATCTGCTCCCAGTCATTAACCGGAAAGTATGGGTTCGATAAGTTGAGGATACGTTCGTTATACTCAAACGCAACCAATTGCAGACAACAAGAGATTTAGTAAACAATACAATGGATGGTATCCATCTTACAATGGAATCAGATATTGAAAAGCAACCCCCTTCTTGGACGTTATGGCTTCCAGAACCGTGAGCAGAGAATTACAAACCTCGGTTTTCAAAAAAGGCACGTATATTGACCATAACTTGAACTTCAACAACAATGATAACATAAGCTGAAATATGAAGTCTAATCTGCAGGATCAAATCACACTGCAGTCACCAAAGCGAAACGGGAAGTAGATAAAAATTTGTTTGCACAACGTCTACCCAAACAGTTTCGTCCAAAGGTATCTTAATCCCAAGACTAGGCATGACAAAAGTACACCGACAAGGATGAAATGGATTGTTCTGCCCTGCGTGACGAATGTCTCAGAACTGGCTGCAAAACTCCGCAAACCACATCAGCTAATAGTCGCTCAGGAACTAAGATCCACGTTGAAAAGTACTCTATCGAAACCAAAAGATAAAGAAACACATGATTCTGTGACAAAACTGAGAAAAAACCTATGTGAGCCAAACGTGCCTGTATATACCATTACACATCACATTCGATTTCGACGCATGTCTGTAAAGAAGGATACAACTTTATTTGAACTAGAATGGAGATTCTGACACACGTGCCAACATGCTATAACTAGGAGGGTGTTTCGATCTGTGCTGCCTTTCTCCAGTCAGTAAAAGCTATCGTGCGAAAGGTCTGTTTATCTTCTCTCTCTGGTAAGGGATGCATTCGTTGCGGCCTGTTCGTCCAGCATTGCGTGCATCACTTAATTAGCAGGGTTTACGCCATCGTTCATACAGCGACTAGGTTTTGCGCAGACATTATCGCGAAATCGATCCAAAGTGCGTAATCGCCTACTCGACACGTAAGAACGACACTAAGCGAACGTTTCAGTGGAGGGGGCCCAAAACAAATTGGTAACGGTTTAGTATTTTTGGAATTGTGGAAGACGAGTCGGCTTATTCGAAGCAGATGATACAGTAACAACGTAAATTGACGTCATTATCAATCAAGAGAATGTCCAGCTGTTCCATTCAGTCAAGCTACGCTGGTAGTTCTCAATCGGTGAATAAAATCGCTGGCAGCACTTCAGAGTTCCTATATGGCGCCAATGTCTGTGTAACCTTCGATGCTTGGCATGAACGAAACGACGACCTGTGCATTATTGACCTGACAACCTAGAATGATGCGTGAAAAGTCCGGCTGCTTCTTCGCAAACTAGGCACCGTTGAACACTAAGGCTACATCAGTTGCAAACTGTCAAAGAGGCATACATACGTTACTTTTGGCCAGACGATTCGGACATTGTCGCAAATTTTTGGCGTACAGTCCTCAGTGTTCAACTCGCGGTTGGCCAGGAGTGATGCTGACGACTTTATCATCTGCGTGGGCAATTTGTTATGGACGACTTCAAATGAAACGAGTAGACGATTACACAATTTGGGGCGATAACGCGATAAGGCCTGCGCGAAACTTAGGCCCGTATAGACGACGACGGAAGTTCTGCCAACTGAGTGATGCACGCAATGCCAGACGAAATTGACCACCACTACCGCACTCCGTACCAGAGAGAATATATATATATATATATATATATATATATATATATATATTTTGTTAACAGACATCGATACCAGAGAGAAAGAAAAAAGACAGACCTTTTGCACGAGTGGTTTTACTGACTCCGCAAAGGTTTCATGGGTCGAGATACACTCTTAATTGTAACACAAATTACGCAATACGCCGGGTGTGAGCTTTGGCGGGACGAGCTTCTTCACGAAGCCTTACTGTGTGGGGATTTGGAAGCCGAGTGGTTACATTGCGAACGCCATGAGGCATAGCGCTTTGATTGCACATGCGAGTACTGGAGTTTGAGCAGCAAATGCGTGTCATTAGGAGACATAAGAAACGAATTTCTGGAAGATGAGTTGGTGACAAAAAATGCAATTAATCTGCGCATTCGCCTTGATTTCATATGCCAACAAGTGAGAGAGAAGGCGGTTTGAAAACGAGCTTAGACTGTCACAGATCAGCGACTGGAGCACGAACAAAACAACCGTTGTAACCATGTTCTGTAAGCAATATGGCCAATGCGCCAATGAAATTGCAAAAAGTTACCCTACGTCACAGCAGGTTTCACACCGACCAATCCGGATGAATCATGGTGACAAACGCTTGAAAAGGACAGCTCCGTAGAGCCGACAGTATTTGTCTCTGGATTCGCTCGAAGCACAGTACCTGCTGCTAAGGAGATACATGATATTACGCACTGAAGTTATTACCACGATTGGCGACGAATTGTCTGCAATCAAATTGCTCAGCTCGGAGAAACAAACAAGACTTCAACTATACACATCAGCAACCAGTAATCAGACGTGTTAGCAACTCTGAGAAAGCGTGTTAGATGTAGCCAAGGGACCAAGGGGACCTCAAGCTCTAGGACTGACAGCAGTCGCCTCTGAAGGATGCACAATTAACCGATCCCAGAGGCGTATTCGAAGTCTGAGTAGCGTGCTCTAAATCTAAGACGCGTTCAACCTAGACTCAAGTAGTTCGACACAGACCCACTGTCACACCTAATCGCCGAATCAGAGATCCTTATAAATTTCAAAGCGTTGACACTGTAACAGCCACATAGTGGTCTAATACGAACAATCAATTAAGCCATCGGTAGTACGTCGGTACTTGGTATCGATGCTTCGTTGCTATGCGACAATCAACAGTCGTGTGTGAATATCAACACTGAGATATCACGCACAATTCCTGCTTCTGGACACAAAATGTACGTCATCTGGACCGAAGTATAAAGAAACGTGTGAATGAAACATTTGCTGTTTGAATAGATGCAAATCCTAAACGATTTGGTTTAGCATTGTGGAATCGTTATTCGATCGAGCCACGACAGTGTACCCTTCACATTTTCTTTACTCAATTGTAAAGTTTAGCATTTTTGATAGTGCCTCTTTCGTACATATACAGTTGATAATGCAAAATACTAAAAAGGAAAGGTATGTACTGACTTGGCTCAGACATCCTTGTGGATGACAACAAAGAGACTCTAGAGAAGCCATCAACTGATGTACACAGAGGCTCAATCAATCCCAGACGAAACAGACGGAGATTAGACTCCGTTGGTCGAATTCACTTGGCACGCCGATACAAATAACCTGCGATCCGACCTATTAGAGCACTGAACTCAATATTCCTGAGATGTATACAACTGGGTGGTTATCCAAAAAAGAAAACAATTAAAATAGAGCAACAAAATGAATTCAGCTCCGGAGTCGAAAAACTGTTCGAACCAACAGTAGCATAGCACAAGCTTACTTAAATCTATAGTGAAGTCTGTTTGCGACAATTCGCCTTGTGGTGTAGCAGAGATGACTGCAGTGTTTCGAGAAGTAGGCCTCTGTATCCATGTGTACATCACATTGAGGTAAAGCGTTTAGCATTCCACAAATGTGGATCATTTGTTGTTGACGGCCAGTAGACCACCCAGTTGGGTGTGCATCCGTGGGAGAGGATATGATGTACGTACGCGGGAAGATTGCTGTAAGTTCAGGTGGTATAGATGGTCGTCTCTCATTGCAAAGACAACGCAAAAAAGGCTACGTCGGTGGGCGTAAACACATAGGAAGATGATGCTGGGCAATCGGTGAGTCACCGGAGGTCGAACTATAGCTTAAAGCAACTCGCACTTTATAGGTTTAGAGATTCCAAGGTTTGTTATCAGCATAAATACATTTTTTTCATTTTTGCACTGCGCGGGCAAACACTTCTCGTTGTTCGTTAGTATGAGGAAATGTGATAAGGGGATTAGTTGATGGACACAACACGTTAACGCCTATATCAAGGATGATTAAATGAGGTGGATGAAACAGATCACAGATAGAAATAAAACTGTGCGTACGCCACACATGGAAGAAAAACGGAATGAATTGGATCATGAAAAATAAGAACACCCATGGACAATGAAATCGATGGGACAGTGGCGCGCTTGTAATGGCGCCCCGCTGCCCCTGACGTTTTAGCTGGCTGGTGGCTAGGTGATTAAGACATGTGGGTTTTAATTCTTAGTTCTGCGGCTCGGTTGCGTGTGCACGGGTGAAGGAGGATGACCTCACAGTACCCCCAACGGGCACGTGACTATCACTGGCCGCGTGGCAGTGAAGAGTCGTCGATGCCAAGCACTGGGGGTTAGTGTTACGTCATCCAAGCTTGAATCGGTGGTGCTCCCAATTACAACTATGCTCACCGTAGTATGAGTCCCATTTGGTGCAATTCAAGACAACTTAACTTAGCGCACCTCAGTTCGGAGCGGATAATGACCGCTCCAGCACAACTGACGAAAAGATGACATAGCAACTGGGGATGGGATGAGGTAGCGTGTGCATGAAGCTCTCATCATCCTGCAACAACATATCCAAGGTGATTTGGTACAAATTGGATCAGTACAGTCGCTGACTAGTCATCCGGACACCGAAATGTGATGGAGCTATTTGTCGGGGAATACGCGCATATGTGAATGGAGTCTTCGGCAAGGATGCGAAAAAAAGACCAAGAAATGGACAAGGACAGAATTTCGCGACGAAGGAATCATCACTAGAGAGGAAAAGCAGCGGCATCAATGGCTTCGGGATAGTGTGATGCCAGTAACTCTCCGAGCAGTCCAACAAAGAAAATCGCAACAAACAGTCCATGAAACTGCGACAAACTAGCCTCTACTTAAAAGTGGAAGCCCAACTTGGCATTCAATGGTTACGATTATTCGAGGAGAAAGCAACCGAGAAAGTACGCACTTATGGAACAATACAGAGTCCATGGCTTGCCAATAAATAATACACCTGGGCATTCGCATCCACAAGAATAAGCATAAAATCCGTGGATTCTTAATCACACCAGTTAAGAGCAACACCATGAGTGGCCACGGGCTGAAGCGGAGATGTCTTGTATGCATTTAGGTCATACCGGAGCGCGGCCACATTAGGCCTAATCGAATAAAAAATGGTCTAAGAGATCAGTGAAAAAGGGTGATGGCGAGCACGCTTTTAAGCCACATAGACACAGAGCCAGACGGGAGTGGAAGTGCGGGCGAAACCCTAAGTGGGACTGCCGCGCATGGAAACAGGTCTCCAGGAGACGGCTCTGCGAATGGCAGTATTACTTCGAGACACCGTTTTTTTTCCTTTTTAAAATCCGCTACGGCCGTTTGTGATTGTGTAACCTGATAATGAAGTTCTGATCATGCCGAAACGGTCATGTCGCGTAAAACCGAGAACACACATTATTATTGTTGTTATTATTATTAGTATTCAATACTGCGTGAATACAAAACATGATGATCTCATTCGAAAAGCCAGCCGCCGATAGGGCTTGAAGTGGCAAATCACACACACGATATGACCCCTTTCATAACGCTGGGACCTTTTTAGTGAAATCGCGATTGTACCCATAAGAACGAGGGAAGAGGAGCGATGCTGTTGCGGAGAAAGACGTTGCTGAAACAACGCTGAAAGAAGTAGGAGTTCTGTAACATGTTTGAAAACTCAATTTCAACAGATCGAGGGCTTATAACCCAAACACACCATCCATCAGTATGTGATACCAGATCCGTGCCACCTTAGAGGTGCGATGTTTACATGTTGGAAGCATGGCGGGTGGCACTATGAGAAATCTTGTGAAAAATCCACAATTAGATTGCATGGAAAGTTAAGAACAAGTTTAATATCATTCAAATCAGTGTCCGTGCCTCGAATGACACGGCGATTTTGCACATTTGGATTTCGGAGCAAGAAATTGCCATCCCCTGTGCATCAAACGCGGCTGATGAGCTGTGGGGCAACATGGAAGTAACCCATTTCGAACTGTAAAAGGAAGATGATAAGGCCATAGTATAGCCAGTTGCAGGCTCAGACGATCACAACCCACACGTTAGAAAATAGAATGGGAACAAAGTGATCTCGCAATAGAGAACCTTCAATGAAGTGCTGATACAATATTCCGTTTCATAAAGGATAAATCATATGCTGGGTGAGCAGAACTTGCCCCCCAAACTAGTGTTGAAGCGGATTGCAATGGCACCGGGAGTGCGCGGCCACTTACCCGGATAACCTTCACATAGCGACTCAACTGAGGTCTGTAGCTTCTTCTCGCTGATACGTTCGTATTTCTGCCGCTTCGTTCCTGCTTTCAGACCTTGCCAAGGCAGGCTACCACGGAGAAAGTACATCAGCACATAGCCCAACGACTCCAAATCATCCCGGCGTGCTTGTTCTGTAGGAAGAGATGAGGAAAAAGCACAATATGACGGCGCGCAAGCACGTAAGAAAAAATACTGATCGAATGTCCCTGGATCGTCGAAGAATGAATGTTTTCGGAGCGGTCTTAGCGCTGGCTTGTCACAGGCGACAGTATAGACAAATGAGTGGATAGCTGGGAAAAATGAACGAAGTGCGTCGCATTTGTGCGCTGCTTTACTAAACGACACAGGGAGAGCAAGTGACGAATTCAAATGACAAAACTCTGCTTCACCAACGGATATACACCGGGTTGTTGGAACCTGAAGAATCAGCTAAAGGGGATTAAGTATCTCGAATTCAAGTGGCTGCAAAAAGGATAGTGTACTACCTCGAAGACTTTGCCTGTAAAAGATTCCGTGTCAAAAGCGAAACGTCGTGCACCAAACAAATAGATTTATCGGCCGTTCACCCTAGATTACTGGAATACTTCGTGATGAATTGTCTATCCGAACGCAATCTGTGGCAGGAATGTCAGTGGACCGACAAGGACGTAGGGAAATGGAAAATGATCGCAGAGATAAGGGTGTAAGGACTTTCCGGCTTATCGCAAGATGCGACATAAACACAGCCATGAACTAAGACATTCGAGAGTTCGAGGAGTCGTTTAGATGTTTGCAGCCACTAATTACTCAGCAACTGCCCAAGCATGTGTACTGCAGGCGCACCGGAACGAAAAAATGGCATTCACACGGTGTGCTGCTCAGCACAGGTGTCAAAAGCTCGACATTCCAGTGCCAAGTTTCAGGGATACGTAGTAACACTTGCAATGTGGATACTACCTCCCACCGAGAGCGGCACCATCGGAGCTGTCAAGCGAACGCGATAGCGATTCATGGGGTAACCGCCATGGGGCTAACAGGTAGGCTAGAAGGACAACAGCGTGGTATTTGTTCGGTGGTCTGTATACCAAGTGCTTCGATAGCTCTCTGTAGATACAAAAATGGATAAGGGACGAAAATGGATGGACATAGGAGGAAAGCAGCAGCAATAGCATAAACACAACTCCAATCACGAGTACACGGATGTGTCGCTGTCACGTGACCACCACTAATCGAGCGCAGGCCAGGGATACTGTGATACTGACAGCACCTATGCGGATTCGAAGCAATGCACTTCAGAGTACAAAGCAGGCGTCACATTCCCTTGGCCACCGGTCGGTGGAGGAGTAATAAGAAAAGACGAGAGGGGCTGATTAGCCAAGGAAGATGGCAACAGCAAGAAGCAAAAGATAACAAGAAAGCGGAAAGGCTCAGATGTTATGTCACCAAAACTAAACGCAGTCAAACGGTTGTCAGAATCCGGGACGGTATGGATCGGCAGACTCGTCGACTCGCGAAGCACCGGAACGGAGTGAACAGTGCCACATCTGAGCAAGCTATTTGGTACCAATGGCCGTCCTCCATGGCTCCTTCACTGGCTAAACAGATCAGGTCCGCAGGCTTTGGACCAAAAAGGAGCGCATGGAGGGCGCACAACTGGCTAGTCCAGTCCAGTGACTCTCCGGATGTCTGAACGCTAACTGGCTGAGTCAATCTGAAATAAATTCACCTAATATCATACACACACACCTTACTATTCTCTTGGAATCAGTAACCGTCCCACACGCGCATTGGTCGAACAAGTCGAGGAAATCGTTGCGCAGGAAAGAATTAAGTTGTCCTCTGCACGGCAGTAACCTGTAAGTCAATGGAGAATAAACTGCGCTCGCCCCATAGTCAAAACGGTCGTAGGTATCCAGTTACCCAGTGATTATAGTCATCGACTCCTCAAGGGCAACAGATGAAACGCGCGCTACCCATGAGTTGTCACAAAGGTGAAATGGGGATCTGATTTCACTTCAGATATGCAGGACCTATCTGACCTCATCATCAACAGCAACAGCAGTACATCAGCCATTTGAACTGATGCTTCGCTGCCATACAACCATGAGGACCTATGAAATAAAGAATAAGAAGAGAGAGAAGGGGGACTTACCGGAAAATCTTACTGCTTTAACTAAACATTCAGGGTCAAGGCGCCTACACCTTGTGTAGACAACATACCGTCACAAACAGCTGGCTATCGTGCAAAGATAAGTCGGCATCCGCGAGACAGCTTCCTTGTGGCTTTCACTGCCACGCGTCATAATCAGCCATTACGACGCAGATAACTCAGCATCAAACACACTTTAAACAGGCAATCCGATTACGAGACGGCAGCAGACGCGCCACTGGTGTCGGTTGCGAGCCATGTCCTGTAAAGTCTCGAACCAAGCACAAGGTGAGTCACGTGGACCCTAGCCCGGAAGGCGGGACGGACCGAAGGCACCCAGTTTAATCGTCAGTGACTTCATTTCATGCTCCCAAGTCAACTTCTGTCCACCTCGAGTCATGCGCCACCCTACACCTGGCAGACTAAATAAGACCCTCCTAGGTAAGCAGTGAGCAGGCATACGAGGCACGTGCCCAAGCCAACGCAACTTATTCACTGCTATCTGTTGTTCTAGGGAGGTAGCATGATTATCATTAGCTAGTACTCGCCTATGCGCATCATCGTTGCGGACACGCTGGTGCCACCCGACTCCAGCAATGCTTCGCAGACAACGATGATCAAAGACTTGAAGGCGCCTCAGCTCTTCAGACCGAAGGGGCCAAGTCTCACTATCATAGAGCAGAATGGCCCTCACTGTGGCCTTGTACACACGGCCTTTCAGACGGAGGGAAACTCCCTTCTGTCTCCAAAGATGACGCAGGTTCAAGAAGGCAGCTCTGGCTTTTGCAATGCGTGAGCTCACGTCAGTTTCTATGCGCCCATCATTGCTGATGCAGCTGCCAAAATAAGTGAAATGATCAACCACCTCGAGTTCCTCGTTAGCAAGAGTCAAGGGGTCATCAAGTGGCTAGTGGTCCTGAAGCAACACTACACTTTGAAGGTGCGAAGTGCATACCAAATAATGGGACCACTCTGGACAGGCTATTCAGGGTTGACTGGGCCACCCCAACATCGTCGAAAAGCAACACCATATCGTCCGCATAATCAGGATCAACTAATCTTTCATCAGTCAGCGCTTCAACGCCTACATCGCATGATTCCGCAAGGTAACACTCCATGATAGAATCCACGACGAAATTGAACAGAAATGGGGAAATCGAACAACCCTGACGAACGCCACTTGTGGTCGGAAAGCTATCCGATAGGACACCGTAGACCCTGACGCGGCCTGTAGTGTTCGAGTATTCAGCGCATAGGATGTTCACACATTTCGTGGGAACACCTTTCCGCGCAAGTATTTCGAACAGAATCGATCGATCGACTGAATCGAACGCACTCTTGAAATCGAGGAACACAGCTATTGTCGGTCGGCGGTATGCGTGGCGCTGCTCTAGCACCTGCCGCAGAGTGAATATATGGTCTATACAGCCACGTCCTGGGCGAAAACCGGCCTGCTCTTCCCTAATCCGAGATTCCCGTTCCACAGTGAGGCGACGAATGAGAATCGAGGCCAGTAATTTTGTCACAACTGGTGTTAGGCTAATACCCCTGTGGTTAGAACAGTCTGTGCGACTGCCCTTCTTGTATATTGCCACCATAATCGATTCGCTCCAATTAGCCGGCACACTCTCTTCGTTCCAGATGCGTTCGAATAGGGAGGTCGGTACCTTGCAGAGGACCTCACCTCCATCCTTAAATAGCGCAGGTGGGAGGGAATCCGGGCCAGCGGCAGGAAAACGGTTGATGGCTGTGATCGCGTTTAGAACCTCGGCCTCTGACGGAGGCTCTAAACTAACCGTCCATGGCTCGTCCTGCATCACCTGAGTAGGAAGAGGTCCGGGAGAAGGGGGCCAGCTGAACTGATCTTGCAAGTGTTCCGCCCAACCAGCCATACGGCGCTCCTTATTGTACATCAGCGCACCCACGCTGTCTCCGATTGTCTCACTGACGCCTGGTTTGCTAGGACAAGTAGTGCGGATTAGCTGGACGACCTTGCGGTAATTGCCTACTGCGCCTGCCTCCTCCATTTCTTGAGTCCTACTGGTCCACCAGGCTTCCTTGTCAACGCGTAGCCTCTGCTTTAGTTCACGCCTAATAGCCCGTCTGGTCACATTGTGTTCAGAGCCAGTCGGTAGGTTTCTTCTAGATTCCAACATGTTCACCGACCTCTCGGATATCCAGCGACTGGAGTGGTGCCACAAGCAGATGCTCCTGCGTCGTGCATGGCGGCCGAGATCCTATTCCACTGAAGCTCAGTGTCATTAGGACAAGACAGCAGAAGTTCGGTATACAGTGATTCTTGATAGGCTCGCCTGACCGAGGACTGGGACAATTTCTCCGTTGCCAATCGTAGGGGACGCTTGGTGCGCCCCCCGTAAAGTTCATGGAGAAGCGACAGCGTACCAAGGCATGATCAAAGTTGGCACAGGTACTCCAGTACGAGCAGCAATACAGGATGGAACCACGCCATCTGTAACTTATGGCTAAATGGTCAATTTAGGTCCATCGCTGGCCAGGTACAGGAGGACGCCGAGTGGCACTTCGGCGCCCACTGTGTCTAAAAGCAATGATACTAGGAAACAACTGGTGCTCCGCACACAGTTGCAGCAGACGCTCACCGTTGTCAGTCCGTTCGGAGTTAAGCCCATAATTACCACCCAGCTGAGCTTCTGAAGAGCTCAGACGCCCTACTTGTGCGTTCACATCCCCTGCAAGTACTACAATATCTGAACTAGTAGCACTGCGTAGTGGGGCGTTCAGTTCGTGACAGAATGTGTCCTTGACAGCATTAGAACTGCAGTCGGTGGGAGCATAAGCGGAAATCACGAACAAACAGCGTTTTGCACTGCTTCGTGAATCAACCTTAGTTGATGTCGTCAAACGGGCTGCACATAAACGGCTGTTCACCGGAATCCAATCAACCAACGATAACTCAGCCTTGGAGCTGAGAATGATAACTACACCAGCTTGAACCGTGATTGCTGCATCGGCGTCTCCGGATGCGTGCAACCAATAACTAGAGGATAAGCCGGGTGCAGTCAATTCAATAACCCCGTTAGGGTCATTGATCCTAGTTTCGGACACACAACACACATCAATACCCAGTGTGTCCAAGGTGCGTGCGAGAGCAGCCTGTTAACCTGTTTGTCTTAGAGTGCGAACGTTGAATGTCACCATGGAAACGGGATAGGGTGGCCTTATAAGGGACTTTCGCCGATAGGCGTCCGATGGGTGCGGTGGGATGGTGACTGCAGATGGTTCTACTCCAGTGGCACTCCGGTTGCTGTCAATCAACCTCGGAATTATAGAAGGAAGGTTAGTAATGAGGGTCAGAATAGGAGTAAGAGAAAAAGATGGAAAAGAAAGAAGGGAGGCGCCAGCAGTAGCATGTTTTCGCTTATCCGCCCTGCTGTATGCAGCAGTTAAGGCCACTCTTGATAATCTGCGCGACGGCCGATGCAGGATGAAGTTTGTGTTTGAGGAAGATGTCATGGTTGTATGTGGGCTGAGATACTGCCAGGGCGCCCAGACCTAGACAGGAGAACGATTAGGGTCCTCATCCAAAGCCTTTGGCTCAAAAGCCTGTCCGCAAGGCAGCGTGGAGGTGGCAATGATTTAGTTTACAGAAATGGACGCCATTCCATTTCAAACCCCCAACCTGGAGGACCAGGAGACTGAGTTTGTCTGACCTCCCACCATTGACTAACCTGGTAGGAGTAGCTCTCAAAGTGCCCAGAGGCATAACCCAGTATAGCTCCATGGGTCAATGAGGTACGCAAACCGTCGAATCAGGTTAAGGTCCAGTCTCGTTGCGACGGACTATCTGACCTGGTTTGGTCGCGATGGTTTCCATCCACGTGAAGAACAATTAAAAAGATATCAAAAAAGATAGATCATCAGATAGGAGAGGCGGGAATAAAAAGTTAGATGTTGAAAGTAAGAATGCCACTTGCTGAGCTAGGCAAGATGGGATCACCGTCATTAACATTGTAAAGTCCAAAAGGAAGTTTGGTGTATCCTCAACCTAGATTGCTTACTTGAGGACACGTTATCCCTATTCCCTAATTATTCTGCCAATGTTACACTGCTTTCAATCTGTGTGCTGCAATCGGTTATCATATTGTACATTTATTCCTTTCACTCTAGATCACTGACAAATGCTTGACGTTTCAAGGTCATCCATAGTATTCTGTTACTGTGACCCTGCCCAAATTCTCGCACGATGTAAAATTTCTGCCCTCTTACACTACGACTGCAAAATTTATTCGTAACTCATATACCGGTATTTACTTTGCCTTATAGAACAACGATTACAAGAGAAATCGTTCTATTCTTCTGTTCAGACTGTGCGTTAAGTCTCGAGGTTTATTGGTTCGTAGTTTTTAGTTTAGATTTCGGACAACGTACTTAGTGTATGCTTCGTATAGTTGGTAAAAATATGATGAATCAGGAGGCCAGGTTCAGGAAAACCGCACGCAATTATGATAGTTCCATGGTAAACTTGTCTAGACGAATGGATGGACATGGTCAATCACCAGACTTTGAGCTACTAATCACAAACCTCGCCGCAACCACATCCGCGACCGGCTCCCTCGAACCGCACTTCACCCTGGGGCTGATAAACAAGTCTACGAGCTCATCCCGACAGATGACTGTGTAGGCAAAACGGCGCAAGAGGCGGTACAAGTTAACAGTATCCTGTATTTGGGATTGGATGATAAACAGATCGGAAACTATCAAAGGCAAGCGCCTAGCACCCTGTGGTTACTTATGAGTAGAGGATCATTGTTTTAATGTATGGATGATCGCAGCTATCAGCTCTCATCCAGACAACCCCGGTCGCAAATGCCTTTTGTTTGTACAATTTCCCTTGCTCGTGTTGAGCAAGGTATATTGGAAAAACCGCCAGTCGACTGTCCGTAAGAACTCGAGAGCATTGTCCCGCTTGCCTATACAGTGGTGTGAGCCAGAATGTGACGAGTGCAGTATGGTCACATTTAGTGAATACTAACCACAAAATAAACTCAAAAGATTCATTCCAATCGATCTACTGTGTACCAGGACGCCACACACGAGCTGTCAGTTGCCGACTGCTGTCCACAGCAGAGGCAATCGCAATTCAGTTCCATAACCCGGAGTTGTGCGCACAGAAAATTTTTGTGCAGACGATCTGTCTACCCTGGCCACACACACAAGTAAGCAGACTTATCACACCATCACCCTAGACTCCACACAGATCGGGTTAATCACATAGCCTTATGGATGAGAAATTTTGTGTTATCGACGCCCATAACTCGCGTGTTCATTGTGAACCTAATTAGTTGTGGTTGTACTAGCCTAATGATGATCCACTGAAAAAAGCCTGTTCGCTACTTTTTAGTTTCTTAATGTTTTCTCGGGGTATTAGTTGCCAACCCCTTATATGCCAGAAAAACACAAGACAATCATTTGATTCTGTTGGGACGTGTCACTAGCATACATTTTTCCGGCTCCAAAACGAATAGATCTAATGACTGTTCAATTCCAGCGGTTTGTGCCACTAGACTATGAGTGACCGGGGGGGGGGGGGTGGAACACAGTGATAGCTGATGGCAAACTACAATACAGCACCGCTCATCACTCAATGCTATGCAATCTGAGAATCTCGTGGAGAACAGGGTGGACCACCGGAGCTAATTCTCGACCAATGAAACGTACGACATAGCTTTCAAGGAGCATAACTAACTAACTAAAGAAAACAAATCACGCGTTCTGCAAGAAAACTCGTACACTTGAGTACACGCATCCTAATTGTGACAGCCCGTATAACACAAGTGACCGATTTTTTATGCCCTTGGCCATCCCAGTGAGACGCATTTGGGAGGAATGTTGGTCACCCAGAAAATTTTTCCGGTACAGATTAATGTATGTCGTGAGTGCATTTTTGGTTGCAAATGCCGTCAACCATAAGAGGAAATTGAATAGGAAACTGTAGTTATGCGATACTGAAGTCATTAGACTGAAACAAAAAAAATTTAGGTGACCGAAATTCGTTCCAAATGTGTCCAACCGGGATAACGAGGGATACAAATTATCGTCCACTTGCGATAACTGAAGATGCGATTTCATTTAAAAAGTAGACTTATAGGTAATGACCGGTGGTGTTAATAATGCATACTACTATTCGACGCGCTGTGTGGTCAGCGACAGAATCATGCACACACACGCACACATCAAAGTGAGGTTAATACGCGTGACCGTGAGAAACCATGCCAGGAAATCGGCTAGTTCATACAAATCACTACAATAAAGCACCGGAATGAGGGACATTATAAACAAGCGCACCTATGCCCAAATGCGTGTTGACGCTGGCGTAACGAGCTGTCCCGGTCAGATTTTTGTCCTCACGATACGGGATGTGCTGATGTGTCCGGCTATCGCGATACTTTTTGGCCAACCCAAAGTCGATGACGTAGACGAGATTGCCACGTTTGCCGAGTCCCATGAGGAAGTTGTCCGGTTTGATATCTCTGAAAAGGATGAAAAACGAAAGGGAACCGTTGCGTAACAGGAGAAAAAGAAGGCACTATTAAACAAGTTAAAAAAATAAAGAAGGGGCCTGAGTTGAAATACTTGGGTGCACAGAAGAGCATAGATCCGGTTCTCAAGTAAAACGAATATTGGTTGCTATTGATGGAGAAATGTGCCGAAAAATAGGGCAGCGAACACCATCTTTTACATGCCTGGATGTTGGTTCTAAGCTGCTGACGCTTTAGATGGTAGTAACAATCGCCTGTTAAAAGTAATGTGATTCTGTAACAAAATACGGAATCTTGGTGAGAATTAGCATGGAATTTGATGGGGAACCAATGCCGCGATCGCTGTGAACACGAAGGGAGTGACGATGCCACATTCTAGAAAATACCTTTCAAGATGAAACTCTGGCGATTAACCTAGCTCCGTTGGCACTTAGACTAAAAGACACAGAGAGGTAAAGTAGGGGTCGGCTTTCTGGCCGTCATGAAAAATATGGTGCACACTCTGCGTCACGTCAGTTACAGAATTCTACACACGGCAACTACGACGTGTCAGCTGACAAACGGGTTGAAGTACGCTTTAGAACGGGCGACATTTGCACTTATGCAGTATGGAAAATATGGAGGTATCGAGATTTCAATGAATGCAGGGCATGTGTGGAAATTGGCAATCCTAGGAATTACTGCCTTAATAGATTGGATGCAATACTATCCACCGAATGATGGAACGATGCCTGCCGAAAAGAAATCGTCCACGAGGTAGAATGTAAAAGACCGCAGTGTCAGTCTTCGTAAACCGAATGCGACAAAACTGAATGTTTACAGGGGACGTCACAGTCCTTCGGTTCATCCAGAGTGGGAATGGGCAGATGCTGGAGCACACGAAAGGTTGAGGTGATTTCTTACTGGCGAATCAAGAAAGAGCTGCATAAAGTGCCAGAGAGAGTGGGTAACTGAAACACATAATTTGGTTTTCCGAGAAGATATCACCGCAAACCTTGATCATCGACCTAAACGTCGGAGGTACAAGGCATTTGGGAGGACTTCCGGTTAAGGATGTGACCGCGGGATTTCAGCAGGATTTCGATTGAGGCCGGTCACATGCAGATTTGGAAAATTCAGAACTATTCACACATATTTTAGACCATATGGTAGGACAGATGTGAGACCACAATGGACTACAGATGAAATTTAGTGACCAGGGGCTACAGGATATAGAGACGGAGCTAGCAAAACAGCGAGCAAGGACGGTGTTCCTTCACTATCAGATACGCCCGTGCACTGCATCCATCGAGCTCAGTTTATAGACTGTAACCGTTGTTGTATTAAGCGAACAGAACCACCGAGTTTCCACGACATAAGAGGAGACGAGTCCTAAGTCTATATGACCCTTAACCTTGGATCTACCTAATATGCTGAATGGCTGTGAGCGTACATGAAAGGCGCCGCTCGGAAAAACTTCATGGATAACCTTGACACACGCGTAGGCTTCGTACTGCGTTTGTATCGTTGCTCCGTTTCGTGGATGCAAGGAAGAAAAATTGGGTACGCAGCAAAGAAGTGCTTCGCCCGTGCCATGGGATTACATACTCTGTGTGTGTGTGTGTGTGTGTGTGTACGTGAAGGGATAAGGCAGCAAGTTACTCTTACACACGGAACCGAATACGGTTCACGTGAGTGTGTGTAGTGACACGTGGCAGGGATGAAAGTTGAAAACAACACCACTGGATCAGATTACATCGAGATAAGCAGGGCGAAAATGGTGACACGAAGGGAAATAAGATAGGTCAGTGGGCGAGCCGACGGAGGAGAGAAACCACATGTGTTTAAATGATCTAAGCAGAGAGAAAGAGGACTCTCAAGCGAAGTAATTGTATTACACAGCTCGCGTTTCCGCAACGATGAACGTTCGTTATTTGAAGTCCCGGTAGCTGCGCTGATCACGTGGGCGAGACATCCCTGGACAATTAGTTGCAATTCCCAATTGGTTCAAGAAGATTTCACTAACCGTTCAAGCGGCACGCTTTATTGACACGATCACTAGGCAATGGCGTCTCACTATGTAAAGGTCTAAGGGGTATTTTCCAAGGGCGTTGGATCCGATAAGGACGAAAGGTAGACCGGTCTCCAAGTGGTCGATATGAACAGCTTGAGTAAAACAGTCGTTCGCAGCATCCAACGTCACGGTCAAAGTAGCTGCGATCAAGAGTAGGAGATAAACACCTACAGAGAGATCATGAGCGGCTTATGTCAGAGCAACCAGGCTAATTATACCAATTCAGAACCCGAAGAAAAACGGATTCGGAGCCGGTCCGCACTCCATATCGCCAGTGTGCAGTTGCGGGAAACATACGTACCAAAGGCAGACGTGACAGTTGCCTGGCCTGCTGCGATTGGCAATACAGTGAAGCCAGTCGTATGGGCGATCGGGTCAGGTACCCAGTGAAAGTTCGCACCAAGCGGTGTCAAGTCGGGCATTCTCTGCATGGATGGGTTCCAATTATACGAAAGTAAGCGTCCGAGTGTAGTTCACCTGTAATGACGACGCGTCACACAAATTGTGTATTTGTTGCCGTTTCAGCAACTCCAAACAAGCAGATGCAGCATTACACGCAGTCATCATTCTACACAATGACAAACGAACATGCATGCTGAGTCGATCCCGGGCATGATCTTCCCCACTGACCGAGGGACACCAAACAAGTGAGTTGTGGCACACGCATGTTTACATGTCCGGTGAGAAAAAGGAATGAAGAGTGTAACAGGATAGTGTGGTACGTGTAGTCATCCATACACGTCACTCATCCGCTCCCACCCCCACTGGTACTGTCTCGTCGTTAACATCGTTACACATTATCTGACGGTGGGAAACTCACTTCGACTATTGTGCCGCAAAACAGAAAGATAAAGGAAAAAGCAAGATACAAAACATGATAGAATGCAGAAAAGTGGCAACACACCGCTCAGTAACATATAATGCTTCGAGAGAGAGAGAGAGAGATATGGTGGTTGGAAGGAGAACGTAAACGAGATGGGGAGGGACAAAAAGGTCGGCTCCGTGCCATGTCAACTAGTGTAGTACGTGGAGTTGTCGACTGGACTGGAGCGATACCCTCCGACTGTAAGCGAGTTGAAAGTAGAAGACAAGCGACTACTGAAGCACGATGAGGGAGGGACATAAATTGGAGGATTGAAGACGGGGGGGATAAAGGTAAAGTTAGAGCGAGATGATAAGGATGAAAAGGCGGAGGGGAATAAGAAGAGGTGAAGGCTTGAGCAGTAGCATCCTTGATCTTAACCACTCTGCTCGACGCAGCAGATAGGGCGAGGTTTATTATCCTCTGTGACGGCTAGAGCATCAAGAAATCGTGTGGGGGAAAAGTGCATAGAATGGTATTGCGTGGACAGGATACTATCAGGCAGTCCAGGCCCAGATAGGAAAGCGATTGGGATTCTCAACCAAAGCCTTTAGTGCGCAAACCTAACTGCAAGGCAGCGGGGCTGAAGAACTGGGCTACAGAGAGTCCGTGTTATAGAGTAAGGAGAAACCCTCACTCCAACCCCCAACATGAAGGGTCAGGAGACTGAGTCTATCTGGCCTCTAACCACTGACCGATATGTTATGAGTGGCTCTAAAGGTGCAAAAGGCACCAACCAGAATAGCTCAATCGCTCACTTAGGCACGCTAACCATCGCACCAGGTTAATGTCTAGTCTCGTCAGTATCTCAGCGCTCGAATGTCAACATGAAACCACCAAGGAGGTGCGCAGGCATCTTGCACCATGAGGTAACAGGCGCCACCTGTGAACTGACTGACTGAGGCCGGTAATTACTACTCACTGAAGTCAAGAATGTGGAGAAGCATACAGTACGCAGATAGAGTAGTTCATTACTAAGGGCTTAGTGCCCTGAATGTTCACGAGACTGAAGCAAGTGGGCGGGAGCAATGCCTGACCACACATCTATGGGGTGATGCATTTCGCACATTGCGCTTAATTCTGACAGCGGAAAATGATTTAGATGCGAAAGCTTATGCGGTATGTAATATGTGATGCCTAGGCCCATCTTTACTGGACAACAGAAATGCTATGCGAAGCATCCAGGGACGAGCGGTGACAACCTACGAAGATGACGAGGTAACCTGACAACATTCGCTGAGTGACAATCGCAGCCTGACAGGTGAAGCGTAAATATCCAGAATGAAAGTAAACAAGCACCACACACACACACGATGAGATGTGTGCCGTGGCTGTCAGCTGACGCAGGCGCGCGATAATGTGACGTGTGTGCGTGTGTGGCGCTAACAGTGACCTGCAGCTGGTGGTCGATGCGGTGACCACAAAACCAGTCTGTAGGCCAAAAATGACGAATGGCAACAACAAATGAAGTGGACGCAGGTGGCAGGACGGTCGAAGCGAATGGCGAAAAACATCCAAGCGCAGGACAGGACGGGATTTACACAGTGCTCGCGCATGGAATTCATTGCGCATATACTCGGTGAAAATGCGATCAATGCGATCGAGAATTGAAACAGCGACTGTGCTTCTGGCATGTAGATGTTAATCGAAAGTGAGATCGAAGGCGTGAGAGTGTCAAGAGCCAGTGATCCTTTGTGACGGACACGTCTGCGCGTCGAGCTTGGTAGGCGGGTTGCAATCAATAACCGATTCCGTCAAGTTTCAAGTAGCCTTAAATCATTGCCATTATGTGCACTTGCCGTTAAGTAGAACGGAAAATCTGGATGAGGATACGGCTAGGAGAGCCCGAAAGGCGACTGCAGCGTAACAATGGCCCAAACCCTTGAGCGTTACATTGGTTGGTTACTGAGTGAGCAAAGAGTGGATCGCAAGCCGAGGCAACCAACTGGTAGACGCAATGGGGCATTCCGCGATGAATAGAGGGTGGAAGGTTGGGCGGACATCGAGCTTGAAATAGAGTATGAAGTAGACGCAAGTGCAGTAGGCGTGCACATCGTAGGTAATCGAATACTGTTA